ACAAGATTAGGAATGAGATCATCAGAGGTACAGCACAGGTTGAACAACTGGGAGATAAAGTTAGACAGACCAGACTGAGATGGTTTGGACATGTCCAGAGGAGGGACAGTGGGTATATTGGTAGAAGGATGTTAGAAATACAGCTGCCAGGGATAAGACAAAGAGGAGATATTCAGATGCAGTATGAGAGGACATGGAGGTCGGAGTGAGGACGGAGGATGCAGAGGACAGAGGATGCAGAGGACAGAGGATGCAGAGGACAGAGGATGCAGAGGACAGAGGATGCAGAGGACAGAGGAGGCAGAGGACAGAGGATGCAGAGGACAGAGGATGCAGAGGACAGAGGACAGAGGATGCAGAGGACAGAGGATGCAGATGACAGTGAGAGGAGGATGACTCCCTGTGGAGAGACCCTTGAAGAGGGAACAGCCAAAAGAAGACTATAGGTCAGTCTCCTTACAGTACCCCAAAATAAAATCCTAATAAAGTAGACATCTTGAACAGAGGCTGTGCAGAAAACAATATACTGACAGTTTTTACAGTGTAGGAGGCTGTGGTTTAGTGGTTTGGTGTCACGGTGGGAATTAAGTTCAGGGCGGTGTTAATGGGAGATGTTTGCTGTCCTCTGCAGCTTCAGAGTGGGGTGGGATGCTCCACACATAGATTAGGGGAGGAGGAGAGAGGAGGGTGGAGGGGAAAAAAAGAAAAGAAAGAAAGAAAGAAAGTGTCAGGATCGTGCTCTCCCCTCCCCGTGACGTGTCTCGGAGTGGACCGGGGGTCGCTCCTCTCCGGTCCCGTCTTCACCTGCTGCCTCCCGGCGCGGACACCTCGCTGCCGCCGCCGCTCCGCTCGCGCTCCTTCTTCAGCGCTTTTCAAACATTTCCTGTGATTTCCGCTCCTCCGCGCGGCCCGTCTTCTTGTCCCACATCAGCGAACTGTTTCCACTCCGCTTTGTGACAAAGATAGAAAAGAGAGGAGCTGAATCAAGGAAGGGGAGAAGAGGAGCGAAAGAGAGGAGGAGGGAATAGGAGCGAGGTCGCTGTGGTCCCTCTCCTTCCTGGATCTCCGCCGAGAAGATGCTGAGGACAGCCGGCGTGCTGGCTCTGCTGGCGCTGGGGCTGAGCTCCGCTCGCACCAAAGGTACGTGCAGGTGGAGGGCGGCTTGTCCCTGCAGCTGTCTGACAATAAACCATCTCTGGCACTGAAAGTCCTCAGTCTGCCTGCGCTTTCATGCTTTCTGGTTCTGAACCGAGCACCAAAGGCATTTCAAGGTGTTCCTGTATCTTCTGTAGCATCAGCAGCAAACTGAGCGAGTCAGGGGTGACTTTTGGTGGAAACGACTCTCCTGTTTGTGTTCACTGTTGTCTTAGTAAAGGATGGATGCTGCACAGCTCACGCCTCCAGAGCCCGTGGACTCCCCAGTTGTTGTTTCTGACTGATAGATGGAGTGATGCAGGACGAAAGTAGAGCAGATGAGTCTAAAACCTGCAAATGTGCTGCATCAGGGCTTTTCCAGTAAATTGCATGCTTGCATGTTTAAACTTTAAAGCATCAGTGGTGATAGTAAAGGTGTCCTGGGAGCACTGGTGTTAAACTTCATTCAGTGCAGGACAGTAAAGGTTTGACAGGATGATGCAACACACCCCAAACCTTCAAATATGATGAAAGTAGATACAGATGTATCTTCTGCAAAACTGTTATCTTACTGTATTTTTCTCCACTTAAAGGCACTTATTGCAAAGTCATAAAGCCTGCTTAAACATAATAGGAGACCCTATACTTTATATATATATGTCTATATATA